CGTTAAAGAGGAGGAAATTTCCGATAAAAAAGTCCCTTGGTAATCGACATGTGTATGAGTATATGACAGGACTCAATGAGTGTAACCTCAGCTTATCTATCGCTGACATCGATAATGCAGGGCGGTTGATACAACATAGACTCGTCATGTTTGAATAATGTTTTTTCCGTTAACCAGCTATCGCACCCCTGAGAACGACAACCCTCAGAACTCGATACTTGTGCGTGCTAGGGACTAACGGGGTCTTACCTTTTAATGTGTGATTCCTAACACGGGTTGGGCGACAGCGAGTGAAAATCGAGCGTACAGCCTGGGGCTTGAACCATCGATTCAACATCGGCCAATTGAATGAGTGAACAAAGCACCCAACCGCCCGATCGGTAGCCGGGCGGTTCGACGACGATACACTACAGTTCTACAAAGTAATCAGATGCTTCAAATTGCTGATACTATTCTAGAGAACTCACTTCACCACAATATCTTGCCATGATGCAAAAACAGTTTAATTTTCAATGGGGTGTGTTTCAGAATGACTTCTTTACCTTTCTTTTTTTGCATCTCATTATTGCTGCATCTGTGGTATGGTTCAGACGGAAAACATTTTTCTCTGAAAGAGAAAAATGTCCAACAAAAGGTCCACTTGGAACTGTAAACATCTTTGAGGTTCTCATGCTACATAAAAGACTTTTGGCTCATCTTGGCATTTCATTCCTTCCTTTCTCAGGTCATACTTGATGTAGTCAGGAGGCACGAATGTATTTTCGTCTTTTATCCATTCATTTATTCAAGGAGAAACACAGTGATCAACTTTATTACCTGTTTCCTTATTTCAACTCTGTCAGCTATTCTATCTTCAGAAATGTTCGAAAGACAGATGATTATCAATCGTAGTTCATGTAGCTAACTGATACGGCTTGTGGATCTTTCAAAGTGACAATTTCACAGTAATTTGGATTAGTTTCAATAGTATTTTCATTAAATATCGATCAGTTCCATTTAAGTAATTCATCTAATCTGTTAGAACCAATGACCACCTTCAGTATAAAAAGAGGTAGTCGACTAACGATTCCGGCGTACCTCAGTATGTCGTAGCTTGGAGTAAGGACCTACCTAGCGAAGTTACTTTTGATAAATGCCAATGCTCCACCGCTTACTGTGATATTCATTTCGATCAACCTCCATCAACCCAACTCAAATACTCCAGCTCTGGTAATGTTACAAGCTCTCTGTTGAATCCAATATCCAAGAAAGGAGTTCGTTGAACCCTTATGAGTCGAAAGGATTTTGCTGTGCTGAAACTACCTGATCAGTCACTGTAACTTGATCAAATTTTTCAATTTATAGGTTGAAGGATAGCAAATCTTGTTGTAACACCTTCACGAGAACTTGAGTACATGTGGAAAGAGGCAACTAACTCCAAGGAGGTGACTACACATATATATTGGATAGTTCGGAATAAGCTTAACAATTCTATGAGCTAATTATGCTTTTTCTCAATACTTTACGGAATTGACTGATTATCGATATTTCTGAAACAACTGATGATGATAACCAGTGCTCAACCATCTACCAAGAGTGTGGATCGGATATTTTTCTCCAGTATTGTTCATCTGCATCTCATCAAGTTGATCTTGTTTCCTCAGTCAACAAATTTTTTTCGAAGACTTATGAATTCAATAGTTAACTTCGTCTACTTCATTACCACTTTTGGAAAGAGAAATTATTAACCCCAGTTATTTGAACTATCGGTGAACTTNATTAGGCGAATCCCTCTAGATAATCGTCAGATTATGAGGCAGCACGTTTAGAACATAAAGATGAACCATATACATCTCAATATGATGCGTTTGAGTATTTCAAAATGGCGATTTTTTTTTGCACATTATAATGATGGCCACGAGTTTGCGTCAGATCGAAATCGTCAGATTATTGAATGAGAGCTTTTTTTTGGGTGCACTTAATATCTCCTTTGAAAATCTGACGCGCTCGATTAATTTTTTTTTCTTTCAACTTTAAACCCTTACGTACAACAACCCGCATCATGCAAATGATCATATTAACGTACGAACATTATTAAAAATACGTAGGACATTGATGCTACCAATATCTGACGTGCTCGAGTATGTTCATGCAACAGTATTTTTTTACATATTTAAAAATCTATAGCCGCTTCCCCCACCGATGAAAAGGTATATATTATATAACATTTTTTCTTGTTATCATCTAAGCTTTGCAACCTAATATGTCTCTATGACACTCCAGTAAATCCCCATTTTGCATCGTTGGCTCCCTGACTACTACAAATGATTGAATACAGAAGCGATGACGGTTTCAGTTCTTGTCGTCTTTTAGAATATAACAATACTACTCTGTTCAAAAAATCAGTTGAATTTTCAGTTTTTTGAAAAATAATATGATTTTTTTCATTCATTTCCATTTTTTCCTTCAAAGTATTCTCTCTCAGATGCCACCTTATTTTCTAATCCTCGAAGCAGTTCTGAAATGCATTTTTTGTTATGTTCTTGAGTTTTCTCATCGATTTGATTTTCATCTTCCCAATTGTCTCGATACGCCGTCCTAACATGGGTCTCTTCAATATTGGGAACAAAAAAGTTACAGAGGGTCAAATCTGGTGAATACAGGGGCTGAAGTACGATAACGGGGTTGTTTCTGGCAAAAAAGTTACGATCAGGCATTGACGAGTGAGCAGGTGCATTATCGTGATGCGAAAGCCATGAATTGTTTTTCCATAATACCGGACGATTTCTTCGTATTGCTTCGCGCAAGTGACGCATAATTTCACGATAATACACCTTATTGACCGTACGACCATGTGGCAAGAACTCTTGATGAATACGGTAGTCGAATGAAATAGTGAGCAAAACCTTGACATTTGATTGAACTTGGCGTGCTCTTTTGGTCTTGGCTCTTCTGGACTCTTCCATTGGGACGATTGGACGTTGGTTTCGAAGTCATAACCATGTACCCATGATTCGTCACTGAATTATCTGAATGAACAATTCGTTCAGATCAGTCTCAATTCTCTTACATTGTAGGTTGATGGACTGACACCTATCAGAATATAACTACCCCTCTGGTTAATACCACGAAGGTGATTACATCCGACAGGTGTCAGTGCAGGATTCTTCACAGAAGTAATTCCTGCATATGCTGTTGGCGATACTACTGCGGGAATCGATTTTCAATAATTGATTGGCCACTCGTCATCAACATGAAGTCGATGATTTCCATGATTAAAAATCAAATACCTTTCAGGGTATCAATCTTGGAACTAGGCTGGAGTGAACGACAAACAACATACTTGTCATCGATCCATCTGCCCGTGAACGAGGTCACCAATGAAAAAAACTACACTGTAAGTTAATGGACTGAGACCTATGAAAAACTACTTTCCTGATTATAAAATCGACATTAAAAACTGGTGAAAGGTTTCTCCATTCAGAATTTCGTCAAATAAATGAGGACCCAAAATTCTATCTTTGTAAATTCCTACCCACACGTTAATACTAAATCGCACTTGAGGTCGAATTTCTCGGAACTGCCTGGGGTTGCTTATGCTCCAAATGTGTTCGTTATTTCGGTTGAATATCCCACAATTCGTAAAAGTACTTTCATCTGTCCAAATTATATTTTCCAGGAAAACAGAAAAATCAGGTCTTCTCATTTGTCAATTACAAAATTCTAATCGCCTTTCGGGATCACCTGGATGCAAGTTTTGAGATATGTGTATTTTGTAACATTTTAAACCGCATTTTTTGAGATGTCTTCAAGCACTTGTATGACAAATATTCATTTCAGAGGAATTTTGACGTGTAGATATTAATTTTTGTTGAAAAGGACACAGTGTCTAACTTACCCCAATTATCAAATTTTCTTTAGTTTCCTGGTCCATTATGTTTCCGTATTTTTTCCTCGACTATTCAAATGAATAAACAAATGATCCAATAATTTCAACATAGTTCGATGTGGTTGTATTCTTTCGGGATACCTACAAGTTTAGTTACATTTCCGATGTCCTAACACTGTTTCTATTGTATTTGTAATGGATTTGTATCATATATCTTTTTTCTTCATTCGTGAAAGCCATTTTTCGCCAAAGATTCAATGACTTGTACAATAACAAAATGTTATTGAGTGTAACAAATTGAAAGTCGAATTTAGAAACATCAAAGTTGAAGCCTAGTATGATAAAAATAAATAACTTAGGATGATACATCATTGAAAAGGTAAAATCTGGTTCTATTAAAAACCCATAAGGAAAAATAAAGTTGATGATGGTGGCCGGAAGACGAAACGTCCGATAGCAAATCTGAAAACACCATTATGTAGCAGGAAAAACGTGGCAACGTGGAAGTGCAATTCATTTTCGAATATTTCGAGAAACAAAGCCAGAAAAAAAAAATAAAAACCATTTTCCGAAATTTCGGTTTTTTCTGAATATCTCCAGATATGTTCGGAATTTCAGAACTTTCTCAACGGCATATTGTTAGTCAGGTAGATGCTCAACTTTGTCCCAATTTAACCATCTTCGTATCTCTCATAGTTTCCGAGATCCCAATAAAAAGGATCGAATTTGAAACACCCTGTAGATTTATAACAGCTTCTGCTGAAAATCCGCCTTTCATTATTCTAGGTTTTTTCAATATTATATTTGATAAATCGACTCCATTCAATATTATTATTAAATACTTGAATGTAAACAATATATGTGTGCTATATACAGGCACCATTTTAGATTTATTTAATAGATCGCTAAAGTACGTCCACCGACAGACATTATTTTTGAATTCAAAATAAGTCACTGTCTGATGTGTACTCCCTTCAGCTTTCAAAAACAGTCTGGTAAAGTTTTGCGAAATATTAGACATTTCTACTCGGAAGTTATATTTAACTTCAATTACACAAAACTCTTCACTTGAAACTGTACTTATTTTTTAATTTTTCCCAATGCTTTACCGAATTATGAACCAGTTACTTACCACCATCTGGTAGATTGCATCAACTATATTGTACATTTCTTCTCTTGTGATGAAACCATCGTTGTCTACATCGTAAAGCCTGAATGCCCCTGTAATAAAATAGTGAGTGTCAGTAGACTTTTGTGACTGGGATTTGAGTCAAGAAATAATAAGAAATTGAAAATGTGGATAATAGGTACATTTCTTTCTGCTGAGAATTACGACTATATTATATCTGGAAAGTCGTGGAGCGATTAATGGAAATGAATGGAGGAAAAACTTGATTGGGAGTATAACTTTATATTCAATAAAAATAAGATGTTTCGAACTGACATCCACCAGTCTCTTAATAATGAGCAAATCTACGAATACAAATCCACTTGTTTATTGCGAATAATTTTTGGGGCAAGTCTACTAATTTTTAACCTGATGCAACAATTCTAAATTTTGCGTTTTAGAAACATAGACTTTCGATTCCAAATAACCCCACAAGAAAATCTAGTGGCGTAAAATTTGGAGATCTTAGGGGCCACTGTATCGTTCCGTGTTTACCAATCCACCTCCTAGGAATACAGTTATTCAGAAACTCGCGAACATCACGTGCATAGTGCGGAGATGCACCGTCATTTTGCAACCGTATGCTTCCATCTGATAAGTTGTGATTGTTGTCGGTAGGGAAAATATTGGCGATGAAAGGTATAAGTTAATTTTTTTAAATTCTTACTATCGCTCTCCTGTGACATTCGAAAAAGGGCCACAAATTCTGTCTTTTATTATTTCAGCCCCTACATTGACTTTCTACGGGTGTTGAGTATGTCCCTCAATCATCCATTGAGGATTATCCCTGCTTCAATAGATTTATTCTGGTTCTACGAAATTCAGGTTCTAGGACGTCAGGATCATGCGCATGATATAGAGCGTTCTGGTTTATTAAGGATAAGTTCGGATTGATGAATCCTCTGTTCTGGTTTCGACTGCGAAATGATCCTAAACTGTCTTGAACCGCCCCGAATCGTAAGGTTTGTTCTGGTTCCAACATCCGAAACTGTTTAGAAACTGCGCAATACATGATGCGTACAAAAAAAAATCTCAAACAGTCCGAAATAGTCTCGGACACTTGTCTGAACCAGAACGCTTTTGAGGAGACCACTGTGCCATCTGTCGTATATATGAAGAGATGAGATGAGATGTCCGTTTTGTTATGTAGCGTATCCTTATAGTCAGTTCAAATGTTATCTACCGTCAATAATTAATTATTCAAATCAAATGAATAAAGAAACATCCTAGCAAATAGCCCAAACAAATTTGCACAGCAGCAACGAGAACAGTTCTCAACAGTTCAGCCTCGAGAGCAAGAATGATTCAGGACGATCCAAAACAGTTTAGGATCATTTCGCAGTCAGAACCAGAACAGAGGATTCATCAGTACGAAACTATCCTCAATAAACCAGAACGCTCTATATCAACTGCCCATGATCCTGACGTCTTAGAACCTGAATTTCGTAGAACCAGAACAAACCTGTACTTGCTCTCGAGTGAACTGTTGAGGACTATTCCAGTTGCTCATGCGCATTCATGTGGAAATTTATTTGGGATATTTTATAGAAGGTTTTTTTATTTATTTGATTTAAATGATTGATGATTGAGGTTAGATAACGTTTGAACTGACTACAAAGATACGCTATATAACAAAATGGACTTGAACAACAGTATTTTCCCGTCCTGCGATAGGTGGCACAGTGGTCTTCTCAAAATGCGTTCTGGTTCAATCAAGTGTCCGAGACTATTTCGGACTGTTTGAAATTTTTTGTTTGTACGCATCATGTATTGCGCAGTTTCCAAACAGTTTCGGATGTTAGAACCAGAACAAACCTTATATCTGCAGTCTTGACGATTCACTCAATCATTCAGGAAAAAAAACCTCACGAAAAAATAAACTTTCTTCAATAAAACGTGGATTGTTGTGACATAAATTCTGTATCATTTGGCAGAATTCTATACAGCGATCGGGATCATCTTCACTCAGTTGTTGACTATATTTGTATTTTGTACTCTCTCTACTTCCGGAATACGTGATACAGAACGTCAAGGTATGCCATTATCTCATACAATTTTCCGTGAAGTACTGTGAGGATTATTCTTTACACTTAATAGAACATCAAGTTCAACATTATCTACATCATCTTCTATTTTAGGACATCCAGCATTCGAAGTATGTTTGACATGACCAGGTTCTCTGAACTTTTTCTCAATTTCACTAACTGTTGAACAAGTGATAGGTCAGTTTGGATACTTCGCATCAAACAAGTCGCATGCTGAGTTCTGGTTTTATTTCCGTATCCAATGAAAATGAAAATTTCTATTCGTTGGCTTCCACTGAAAGTATACATATAATTCACTTCTAACACCCATTTCACTCAGAATTTGTGAAGAATATTTCACAAAATATCTTGATATCTCAACATTTATATCTCATGCGGTTTCAGACGACTTAATATATGCTTACTATTTCATTATCGCATAACGTACTGAAAGCAAAAATATAGCTACATCATAGATTTGCCACAAATAATTATTGATATGTCATTTGTAAAAGCATACAAAAAAATGAAATAAATTGCAAGTACATTAGAAGAGACCGTCACCCACAACATTCTGAGTGAAACTCAGTTATTAATCCATAGAATCATATGGTAATGGCGCTGTGACTTTAAAAAATACGGCAACATGTCTGGTGTAGTTGTGAGGAGGTCAGTCCTCACCACTACCATCACAGAAAATAGAGATTTCAGAAACTTCGTACCATTTTCATTCCAGAAATTTTCTTATGTTGAATAACAGTTTTTTGGATGACACAATAATTCAAAATATTTGAAGATTTAGTCATTCACTATAAATCTACAAACAAAAGCAATTCCTGGTTCATTCGATAAGTGAAAGGCGTATGTGTCTTGACATATTCATTGACATTTAGTATTAAATGTCGTTGTAGGTTCAAAGGTCTTGTGTAATGCTGTAAATATTTGAATCCAAATTCGGGATGGAAGACGAAGGGGGGGAGGAAGACTCACTGGATCAGTTAGCAGTCCTATCTGATGTTTCGTCTGATAATCACGAAGTTGCTATTGCAAAATTGTTAAATGTAGATGAACCAACAAAACATGATGGACAAACTAAGCGAATCAAACACAAATCTAAAGTGAAGAAACACTATTATACTAATAGAGGAAAACCAGGTGAAGATTCAAGCGACATCAAGGTTGGAACTTCTCCTTTTCAATACCCTGAGGATCTGGCAATACTCGCCCATGACATATTGACGAAGGCCTGGAGAAATGATGAGAGAATCAAGCAGTTGAAAGTTAAATGCATTAATAAGTCTACCAAGAGAAAAAGAAGAGATTTTCAAATGTTGCACGTCAAGGATCCACCCAAAGACAGTATGAAAACAGTGTGTGATGTGGATCCACATTATTTTAAAATGATCGAGAGTAAACCAGAGAAGCTCAACATCAAAGATTACATTCAAACTTTACGAGATTCACTAAGAACAAAAATTGTTAATGGATATAGGGAAGACGATATATTACTAATGGACGAAAGTCTTCGATCTGAACATAAGATGCTTCATATTATTCAGGAAAATTATCAAAAATATTTTAATATTTTTGAGGAGTTTTTATACAGAGATCATATGTCTGCTATGCAGTTACTGAACGATTCTGAGATGGCAGCGGCTGAGGCTTACGAAGAGTATCTGGAGTACAAAAATGTTGCTAAAAAACTTTCCGCTTTAAGGTCGACTTTGTTCATTGCCGAAGAGAAATGGCGAAATATCAAAGTTTATCAAAAGTTTTTGTATACCGTCAGCCCTGCATCGTGGAAAGCTTCTCAACCAAAATACAGACGTGCAAGTTGTTTATACAAAGAAGAATCTGAGGACGACATCAATATTTTTGGAACATACAGGGAGTCAATTACATGGAGGAATATTTCCTTGGAAGACATTATCGACAACTTTTATAATGAATCAAGAACTGAACGACCTCCAGAAATCTATTTCACTGAACCAGATCAACTTTTGGATGTTTTTCGCTTTCTCGAATCACAAAACCTGAATGCTTTACTACACTATGAGGAAATGAGGGTTCCAATGTTACAAGTGAAAGAAGGACTGGAAAGCTGTAAAAAATTTTTTGAAAACCATATCAAGTCCATGCAAGATTATATCGAAAAACTCCAAGTTTCGATTCTGTGGGAGGAAGAACGCGAATCTTACCTCAAAGACCTGATCATAAATCTTCTGAATAACCAATTCAGAAAAATTATCATGGATGAGGAGGTACTCAATTTGCAGATTTTTGTTGAAGACGTATACGAAACAAGAATTGGTGCGAATACGGCTAATCTCCAAATTCTGGATATGATGACGGAAATAGAAAACAAATATAGAAATGAGCTTCTTTATATGGATGAAACACCTAGCATAGAAGTATCAGTTTTAGAGCACACCTACTTCCAAGAAGAAATTAGAATAATGAAATTGGCACAAAGAGCTGCTAAACAATTCGCAGAGTTGGAAAAAATTCTTTTTTCAGGGATTTCAAATCATTTTATATAATAGACAATGGAAGTCCGAACTAGTGAAATTCATCACGAAACATTGTCAATCACCTTCAAACACATAGTGATGATGTTCCGGTGAGCTTCAATGTTGAAAGTCTTTTCCCTAATGAATAAACTCTTCAATTTGTGAGATTCAGGTTAAAAATTGCCTTGACTTTAAAAATATAATGGAGATTGAATGTCGCCTCTACAGTAAAACTTTCAAGATTATGTAGAGACCAAACCTTTTTACAATTTGGAGATGACTTTTATCGATATGCATGTCTATGGGTTTCCCTTCATATATCATCTCAACTGAAGTCACTCCTGTGAAAAGTAATACTGTCTTTCAATCTTCTGCTTGTTTGCCCAGTTTACTTCTTTTTACAACTGAAACATGGTATGGAATAAACCGCACTGTTTTAAATAAAATCCGTGACGATCTTAATGCTTTTCTGGAAGATATAATAACGAACAGAAACCAACAATTGTGTACACAATATTCGAAAAATCGGTCGATTTTTTTTCTTGATGTAATGTTGAAGGGGTCATCAAATCAATTTGATTCGCTGATTCGCTATTTTGCTGAGGTGGTTTATATTTGACTCTCTATTTAGGATATTTTCTGATTGTAATATAAAAGACATTTCCAGAAACAATATTTCAGACTCATTTTCTTCAATTGTTTGAATTTTATGACCTTTTTTGGAAATATAATTGCTGAGAGCCCATCTCTCAGGGTGTAATATAGTATCATTTTTGTGAGGAGCAATCAGATCTTTGAGTAGTCTTAATATTTGACCAATATATTAACTTCCACAGTTGTTATTACGTAGTATTGAGTATAATAATTTCGACTGGAACTTTATAGGAGTTTTGTCTTTACGTTTTGAAATCAATTTATTGATTATAATTGAAACTTTCCATGTTTTTTACCACTTTTATTTGTAACTAACATTATTGTAGTTTCATTCTATAAGGATATTTTCAAACTCATGTATTAAACTGAAAATGATTGATGGCATTAGCCCTTACATAAAACACTGTAGGTAATAACATAGGTATAGTTGAAGTAACCTTTATTGTGAATACTTAAAGCTATCGGCATCTCAAAGGCCAAAAAACCAATACAGAGAAATAATGCCGCTGCAAACTAGTCCACGTGGACTGAATAATTGGCGGTTTGTATTGGATGATTTTTACTAACCGGGTTTTATGATTGGCTGAATAGTCATAAAATTAACTTTGAAGTCATGTTACGGTGACGAATAGAATGTGGGGATGAGTATCGCCGTTGTGTCGCCAATGTTCAGTTCAGGAACTGATCGCGATTTGAGTGGTAAAATTCGATATTAGTGCAGTTATAATTACTTGAAATTTTTCTTATCCGTTTGAAATGTGGCGTCTTTTGACAAGTACTATTAGTAATAACGAGTGTGATAACGCAGACTTTTTCCTGTGTAGTTATTTATTCCAATAGCGATGGTGAACAATGCGAAAAAGAGATACTAGTTGTTGTGAATGAGTAGTATTTGATTTGATTCATGTATTAATACCACTTTATAATGAATATGTGAGTTCTCTTTATGATCTTATGTATCGATTGATCTTCATTAGTAACTTCTACTTCAGGTGCGAAAAAGACGAATTTACTTTTGGGCAACTTGGTCGATATTATCTGATCAATATGTCTCTTCAAAATATATCCATCATCGAGTTTCACTTGATAGTGAAGAAGCCCAAATTTCTTGATAATTTCTCCTGTCTTCCATAACTGTTTATTATTTGTGTAATACCTTGTTTGAACTCTTTCTCTCACGCTGAATTGTCGTGCCTTTTTATTTGATGGTGCTGATTTTTCATGATGAACGGGTTTCAAAGCATCCAGCNTTGACCGAAATTCCTTTCTCAACTTTATGTAAAATAGTCAAAAACAAACCTTATGAACGCAAGACGCGATGTTCAAAGACGGTATTACCAAAACCTTTAGATGTTCATCTAATGAAATCATTGAAAAAAACAATATACAACTGTTACAAAAGCAATGAGATTCCTACAACCGAAATCATAAAGAAGAAATTGAATACTTCCGGCCCTGCTGGGACAAAACTCTTCAGAATTGGATAAGGAAACTAGGATTCAAATTTAAAATAATAAACAAACGTCAAGCAGTTATGGAAAGCAGAAAAATAGTGGAATTGCGTAACAAATACTTAGAACAAATAACTGAATTAGGACAAGAATAACGGCAAATTTTTCATTGGACGAAACTTGGTATGACACTCACGACACTGTTATGAAAGGGTGGACTGATGGTTCGAGAATGTGTACGCCTAACATACCTGCAAAGAAAGGATCGCGGAGGAAGTAGAGGATGGGTTCCGAATTCTTTGAAATTATGTGGAAAAAACTTGAGGATTGCAATGTTGACTATCATAAGAACATGGAAGCTAATATTTTTGAGGAATGGTTTGAAAACACATTGATCCCAAATTTGAATGCGAATAGTGTAATAGTTCTTGACAACGCTTCCTATCATTCGAGACAGCTTATCAAAGTCCCGAAGGAAAGATGAAATATTAAGTTTTTCAATGGATAACAATTTGTATTTTGAAGATAACTTTATCAAAAACCAATTACTTGAGGTTTTACAGAAAAAAACATTTGAAAAATTGTATGCCCTTGAGAGAATTGCTGAAAAGTATGGATACACTATACTGAGACTTTCCCTCTGTTTTTGTGTTTTCAATCCCATCGAGTTGATTTGGGGAAAATTGAAACAAAGCATCAGGCGTAACAATAATTTTCCAAAATTTGATATAGCTAGTTGAAGAAGAAGTATCTAGTATTACCGAAGAAGACTGTCAGAAAAGGATTAAAAAAGTAATTTTAGTTGAAAAAGACTATATGGAGATTGGACACTTCCATATTAATGGTGGAAATGAATATAATATGATAATTGCGATTCTTAAATAATCAGAAATGATTATTGAATAACAAAATTAGTTAGCTCCATAACTATATAATTAAAGGGGAACTATTGAAGGGTAGGTTGCACTATATCGTTTACTTGAACTATACTTGACTCAATTGAGTACATGAATTTCGTTCACCTGTGACAACGTGGATACGCTAATTTGAAAACCGGTGAGTGAACTAAATCGATTTGATCATTTAGCAGGTTACGGGTGCAACGTGTTAAATGATGTCAAGATGTTAGGGGTTAAAATGGACACCAATATAGCTTGGCACAATCATGTCGCTGGAATTGGACAGTCTGCTTCAAAAGCTTGGAACACTGTCCCGAATCAGAAAACTGTACACACCTCAGCAACTTTTGATGCTTTATGAAGCACAGATCAGACCTTTTTTGGAGTATTGTTTTCTGCCCTCAAACATACCCTGAAGCTGCAGGATTCCATCCAGAAAAGAGTCATTCGCTTAATTGGATACGTGAATATCTCTTGCAACCTTGATAGTCTGGAACATCGAAGAAAGGTTGGAGATTTGTCTCTCTTCTATATATACTTTCACGGGAAGTGTTCAAATGACTTGGCACATTTGATTCCACCAAGAACGATACATATCAGTACTACGCGACGGACTGTGGTTACTCATCGTTTTGAGGTTCATATCAGTATACCTCGAACTTCACTGTTTAAGAACTCTTTCATCTGGAGAACTGCGTTTATGTAGAATGAACTTCCTGAAAACATTTTTCCAAATGGATTTAATCTCCAGCGATTCAAATCCAATGTGAATCTCTACTTTCGCACAAGCACCGCTCTGAGAGCGCCTTAAGCATTTTCCTGCAGTGCTTGTGTTTTATCCTTAAAAAAACAAAGTTTTGTATTACATCATGAAAAATTGACGCGAATTCATATTATATCATATGTTTCTATATTGCAATGTATTATGTTCAGTAGATTTTTTCATTATTTTTTTGGTGATAACTATACATAGGAGATACCAAAAACGTATAATTGGATTAATTTCATTCTGGCAAACGTAATCAATATTTTTGAAAGAAAGTTGATCTTTCGCAATAGATTTTCACAAAGTACCTTCGTCACTGCCCACGCAACTGAAAAGTTATTAAACATGATCAATTTCCAAGTGAATCTAATGGAAACTAACTAGTGTTGATATACACCAGGTTTAGAACACGGAAAGTGCTCACTGTTGATGTAATGTAAAATTGAATTTAAGTTATATTGGATGAGGAAATTGAAACCCTGTTTCAATAATCTCACACGTGTTCCCTCTCTCTCCTCTTATGCTATGGCTTGATTTGTGGCATCGTTTTCGATCTTGGTGGGTGTAGATATGAGCCAAATAGAAGACACTAATTGGAGCGCAACAGGAACATCTCGATAAACTTTACTGTCATGAATAATGAGAGAAGTTAGCTACAAATTTCGTAAATGAAAAAAAATCTTGTTCCTCATAGTATATAAATTATTATGTACTGGATACATAACTTGCGATTTACTATGCATGTTTCGTCATAATGGTTCAAAGGAAAAACATGTCTGAAACATGTAACTCGACTGAGGGTTAATGTAATAAACTGAAAAGTAATAATTGTGTTACTTATTGCTATCATCGTTGCTTTCAGTAAAATGAGTCTTTATTTCATTCAGTTTCATCGAAGTCTATTGAGTTCGTCGTATATATACAGGGTGTTCCTTAAACACATGCTAATATTCGAGGAGGTAATTTTTAGATCCATTTTAAGAAAAAAACTTCCTATGGACGTATGTCCTGAACACCTTAACTTTTGAGA